CCCCACCACCAGTGTGCATCAGGCAGTGCAGTTTGTGACGACGGTTGCCGGCAACCAAAAAATGATGTCGCCCAGTCAGTGCGCTGTGACGAACCCGACGGGCGACCCAGTGATAGAAAGTGATGATGTTAGTGCCATCAAGATGGGGTGTGCCAGCCCGCAAGTGAACGGCGGCCCGCTGCAGCTGGGGGCGGCTTCGGGGGCGGGTCTGGGGGCGGCCGCAGCGCCCGCCGGCCCCGCGCCCCCCTCCGTGCTGGTGCCGCTGGGGTGGAAGCGCCTGCACAGCAACGGCTCCGTCTTCTACATCAGGTAAGGGTCAACCTGTCCTGCACCTGTGGTGGTGGGAGCCGCCGCGGGCCTCGCGGGGCGACGAAAGGGAAACCGTTCTGTTTGTAACCGACTCGTCCGCTCCACTCGTCCAGCCTGGCCGCCGCGGCTCGCAGCGCGCCGGCCTGGCCTGGGCCGGGCCGGGTGGCCGGGAAGAAGGAAAACCTGTTGTGCCGGGAGTGTGTTTGTGTGTTACCTCACTTTACCGGGGATCTGCGTTATCTCTCCCGAGGTGGAGGAGAGCATTTTGCTCCGTGGGACGCGCCGGGCCGTGCCGCCGGTCGCGCCGGGCCGGGCCAGGGCCGCTGCCCGTCTGGGTGTCACTCGAAAGAGCGATCAAAGTGGGAGGGTCTTTGCCACGCCGCCGCCTACACTGCCAGGCGCGGGGGGCGCGTTTAGCCGGCGTGATTATAGCTTGGTGCTGCGTAATTAATTACCCGAGTGTTGTATGTGTGTGTATGTGTGTGTGTGCGCGCGCGGAAGTATGAGAGGCGGCGGCGGCTGCTTTTTGCAGACCTTTTTGTGTTATGAGCGCAAGCGTTTGATCGTGATTGCAATTTTTCGCGCCAATTCACACAGCGCCCTGCCGGCCGGGGACTGGATTGGTGTGTATATGCGAGTGTGCATGTGTGTGTGCGCGCGTTTTAGCAGCCTTGATTACAAGCATCCATTAGTCTGCTCCCGGCCTCCTCCCCTCCCACAACAAGTGGTTGCCGCAGGATGGTATGTATGTGGTGTGTCGCGCGGTGCGGGCGGGCCTCGGGGCGGCGGCTGCATGCGTGGGAGTGACCACCCCGCGTATTGCACCACATCATCACACCCCCTCCCCCCTTCTCCTCTCGCCCCGCCCGCAATAAGACAAGTGTCACATCACCCTCCCTGCTGGTCTGTGTACGTGTGTGTGTGAGCATATGCGGTGTGGGAACCGGTCGGGGTCGCGGGCTATGGCTATCCACCGCGCGTCCCCGCAGCAGCAGAGCAAGCATCGGTTGAGGCGATAACAACTTCAGGAAGAAAAAAAAATGAAGGTCGCGCGGTGAGTGCGAGAGGAGGAGGACCACAATAGGAAGAAGCGGGGTGCTTTGCATTCATCCCCGCTCCTCTCCCCCTTACAGCCAGCAAGTTTCGTAAGTATGGAGCAATTTATTCGATACTCCTATTGTATCTTATTCGCTGCTGTGTACGGATAGCGCGGGGAGTGAGGAGGACCGGGTTGGGTGCAAGGGAATCCAAAGCTGCTGCTGCTGCTGTATGCTCTCGTTTCGATTTGGCTTCCTTATTATTTTTGGGTGTGTAGCAGCATGCGCGACGGCGGGGCGGCGTGTAGGTCGGGGTTGGAGAGGGGTGAGGCGCTGGCTGGAGGGGAAGGGGTTCCGTGCGCAGCGGTGCCCACAGTGCATGACCTGGCCGGAAACTTGTGATCATGCGGGTTTGGAACACGGTTGGAGGAACTCTTCGGGTAGCTGTCGTAGGTATCAGTAGTTACTACGGTGGAGATCTTGTTTTGCAGACCTAATGTTTCTCGCCATTTGTTTTCGTTCACGCCACTCTTTACATTTACCCTTTAAAGCACATAGTTTGGACGGCGCATTGGCTTTAACCGCGTCGAAGTAGTAGCCAAATATAACCTGGATAACCCTCCCCTCCACCCCCG